GTGACATAATCGAGGTTTATAAGATTATGATTGAATGGGATAGAACAGGTAGAGTACAAGAACTCGTGGGCACTCCATGAAATTGCTGAGCGGTCGGGTCAGAACGGATAAAAGGAAGGACTTCTTCACCCAAGAGTGATGAACACATGGAATTCACTGCCACAGGAAGTGGTGGCGGCTACAAGCATGGGTGGCTTCAAGAGGAAATTAGATAAGCATATGGAGCAGAGGTCCATCAGTGGCTATTAGCCACAAGGTATAGATAGGGACTCTGTCATCTTGGTGCTTGGGGGGGTCAACAGTGGGAAGGCTTGTAATGTCCTGGCCCCACTGGTGGACCTCCTGATGGCACTGGTATTTCTGGCCACTGTGTGACACAGAGTGCTGGACTGGATGGGCCTTTGGCCTGATCCAACATTGGCGTCTCTTATGTTCTTATGTTAACCCAGATCCACAAAGTCCGTAACCCAGCACTCTGGCCCTTGAACTTACCTGACCCACATCATGAATGGGGTCATAGTGGGTCGGGTTCATTCATGGGGATCAGCCATGGCCCCAGGTGTGAGTCTCAAGCGTCTGCAAGAGGATTTCTTATTTGGAACTCTATACACGATTGAAAAAAGACATGCCACACTAACCTTTGACACATTTAATGAAGCCCAACTCATGAAAAACCTCTGCAAAGCACAGAAAATACAAAGTCTGATTTAACAGAAACAAATAATAATCACTTTAAACAGCTGGAACCCAAGGGTGTCAAACTCATTTCTTATGAGGGCCACATCTGACACAAATGGGACTTCGTCGGGCTCGGCCATGTGTGTCAAAAAAATAATGCCAGGTAGCGGAGATATGAACTTTATAAAGGATAGAGACAAACACAATTAAATATATTATTTCTTTAATTAAAATACAGACATGCTTAGAATGCTTGTGATAATTTTTTGGCAATGCAGTTTTTAAAATAAAAGATCAAGAAGAAATACAAGGATCACAGCAGAAACTAAAAATATAAACTAAAAATATAAAATGCTCTGAGCCTAGGAAAACATGAATTGGCCGGGCACTGCAAGCTTCTCCGCACCCCACCCCCAGGTCACTCAGAGTGGCAGAGGCTCTTCAGTCCAATGCTCCCCTTTGGCTGGGGGTTCCCAGGTCAGAGTACCCACTTGTCAGCAAGCTGCCAAGGAGCTCTGTGTATTCAGTATGTACCCAGTTGTTCCCCCCCTGCTGAAACCCCCTATGTCAGCTTACCTAAGGTCACAGGTGGGGAGTCGGGCTTAGCTTTAGTGTAGGCTTTAATGAGCTAGACCGTGAGAAGCTGTTAATTCTTTAACTTTCAGGAACGGTTGATTCTCAGGCTTTAGGCGCGAGTTGCAAAGCACCCGTGTTAGCGGGAACCAAGTCCATTGGTTAATGCATTTATGAATTGCTTTATTATCCTGTGCCCTGACCCTCCCGGGTATTCCTAACAGTTCAAGTGTTCTTGACTCTTCATTGCTTCAATAAAATATTACTTTGCTACAAACGTGTATTGGATTGAACGCATCAGGGGATCGTGACACCACTCAGGTACCTGTTCTCAGGTCCATTCGGCAGCGACAAGCTGGCTCAAAACATCAAGTGTTTCTTTGCAAGGAGACAACTTCAGCAAGCAACAGCTTCAGCTAGCATACAAGCACTGGAAAGTGAAGCTACTTGAGTTTCACTCTATTGAAATACATTGCAGCACAGACAAAGTTGCAAAGAAAATGCAGAATGTATTTTCCATTATGGTCTCTGGGACCAGGCAGACTACTCTGGGACTGGAAAGACAGCCACCAGACAGAAATGACAGTCCCTGGGGATAGAGTGGAATTCCATTTCCAGAAAGCTGCTGCTACTGCTACTCCCAGGGGCTGTCATTCCACTCTGCGCCCTGTCATTCCAGTCCCAGAATACAGACTCTATTGCTAGGGACTGTCATTCTGCTCTGGGGCTGTCATTCCAGTCCCAGAACACTGTTTCTACTGCTGGAAACAGTCCCAAATAGTCTATCTGGGTGCAGAGATCTTAATGGAAAAATCCATTCCGTATTTTCTTTGTAACTTTGCAAGCCCTGATGGGCTTCCTGCCTAAGCAGGCAAAGACAAGATGGAGGGAGCTGGGAACTTCAGCAGCCTCAAGCTTCAAAGGGTGAAGACAGGAGGGGGGGAGAAAAGAGCTGCGGGCGGGTCACTTCTGGCCTGAGGTTTGACAGCCCT